TTACCTCTTTTGCCACTGTATCCCTCTAGATCAGGGGTAGTCAACCTGGTTCCTACCACCCACTAGTGGATGGTTTGGGTTTTAATGTGGGCGGTGGTGCGTTCTGTGGAAAATGCCCTGTGGGCCTTAATCCTTTCATTTCCCCTGCTGGCCCATGCAGAGCCAGACTTGCTGTAAGCCCTCTTGGGCTGGTGAGGAGATCAGAGATCTCCCTCACTGTCCCACTGGCACTTAGTTCCAGCAGAGGGAAGGAAGGGCCTGGGAGGCTCTGTGTTCCTCCTGTGAGGAAAGGTAAGAATAAGGGAGGGAGAGACATTAAGATAGATTTTCACATCTCACCCACCTACACACAGCATAGACCTTATGCACCCTTCACACACAAACACACACTACACCCCTCATGCACACACACAATGCCCCACCTTACTAATTCTACCTCCTGTTTGATTGAAATGTCACAAGGTAGAGTATGAACACCACTGTAGATGCAGCAACCTATTTAATTTAAAAAGAAAAAGCAAAACAAAAAATCTCATTTATGCTATGTCAGTTTTGGGCCTAATACACTGCTTGATTTTGGAGCTGCTGCACAATAGCCCAATAGCTTTGGCCTTTGTCTTCATTGAAGATCTTCATTCCTAAGCCATCAAAAAGGACAAAAAAAAAAAAACATCATAACCCAATGCTATCATTCAGAAAAAAAAATTGCAACAGAAAACAAAATAAAGCACATCTTCACCCTCCAGCCCTTCTAACTGGAGAACTCCAAGCAAAATCAGGAGACTGTGTGGGGAAAAGCTGTTTGACATACAATGCTCAGTAAGAGCCCTGTGATTTGTTGTGTTGGGGGCTGTGTCAGAACTAAAAGAGAGAGGGCCATGGTGCAAGATATTTTTAGCGCCTAGGTGCACAAGAGGTAGATCCTCAACTGTCCTACAACTTAAAGGCAGGAGAAACCATTCTTTAAAAAATTGTTTCTCATTTGAAAGGGTGAGAGAAGTGATTGGCGAGCATGAGGGGGTGAGTTGACTCCAAATATACTATGTAACTACATGCTGGAGTCTCACAGTGCATTGTGCGGCTATCCACCGCAGCACTGAAATGGTTATGTGCTGTTGTATTTGTGCCACAAGTGTTTTTTTTTTCTCTAGTTTATAAAGCTGTAAAGTAATTTAGTAAATTGCAGCTGGCATAGCTATGGTTTCCTAGAGTGCTGCACTCAACTCGGAAACTTTTACTATCTGGTACGGTACTAAAGTTCTGTCAGTTAGTAAATTGCATTTTTGGCATCACTGGGCCACAAAACTAATTTTAACAGTGCTGGGGTCTTGAAATTTGATGTAATAATTCTTAATTGTCCGGCCTGTTGGTCCTCAGACTTTTGTATTAAACAATTAAACAATCTATGGCACTCTTAGCTGCTGATGGGCTATTTTTTTGTAAAAATAGTAGAACATTTATTTTAAACATTGGTTTTATAGTAAGCACATAAACTTTGTGAAATATTGCTTATTGATAGACTGCTGCGTAGGTTAATCAGAAATTTTAAATAATATTTACTTATCAATGTTATTCTTTTCTAATTTCTATTAATTCATTATATCACACTGTATCTCTTATCTTTTAAAGTGTTTCTACAGGTTCTGAAACATACGTGTAGAATTCTAAAAACATTTTTAATATAAAGTCAGTGTGAAAAAAAATAATTCATAATGGTCATATACCTTGTCTACGTCATTTCTGAGAAATCTATTTCCATTTTCATGGAAATATAGATTCTTATGTCTAGAGCAGTTATCTATGCACAACACACTCATACACTGATCAGCCACAACATTAAAACCACCTGCATAATATCATGTAGGTCTCCCTCTTTTGATGGTGGACAGGGGGTATCATGGGTACTGTTTGGTGCATATTTGTGCCCTTTTAAATTATCTGATTTTGCACAGAAACTATTTTTGGTACCAAAATTGTGTAGTGGTGAACGAACATCCTTCTGGAATTTGGTCATCCTGAAAATGTTTCTCTTTTCAGGAAAAATGGTTCAGTTGAGTCAAATTTTCTCAATGTGCACAAGTCTAACTATTACTCTTATCACCTAACTGACAAAGCTTTTTTTTTATTGCATGTTTTTGTTCCCACTGTCTAAAACTTAATTAACTACAGAATTCTTGTTCACCAGTAACATGGCTCTCTACTGATATTTCCTGTATATTGAACAATTCCACAATGACGCCAGCTTCCTGAACCATGTACAATGGGATCAAATTTTAATGTGCGCTCTCTTTTATTAATCACATTTAATTACCTTCTAAATCTAGCTACCTCCAGCAAACAAATAGCTTTGTAATTTACTTGCTTCTCCGTCAGAGAAAACCATAGGTCGAATTAACATAATTATTGCTTCGCTTCTCAACTACAATAACTACCTCATTAATATCATTGCTATCTACAGACTTCCTCATTCCAACCCATCTTGAAAATTCTCTAGACTAATTTTGTTTCTAACAATCCACAAATCTACTGCTCTTTTCAATAATTTCCTTAATCCTATAGGACTCAATCTTAGTTCTTAGGTTAGAGAGCTCAGAAGTCCAAATTACTTTCTCTGTTTGACTCATGACTAAATTGCTTCTCTTCTACTGTTATCTTTATTTTACTATGTATTTTTCTCAAGGATGAGATGATGAGCATTATAGGTTTAGAGCTAACTTTAAAAAAGCTCTGGAAATTGTGAGTTTGAAGAAATATTTCTCTCACTTTATTATCTTGTATACAGGTTACACTATGCGTGTTTTATCTATTTATACATAGGTTATAAAGAACAATTTGTTGTGTGGTTACCTGAGATATATTTTGTGCAAGGTAAAAAATTTAGTCTTTTCTGTGTGCGCAAATCACTCTGTCTTTTTTCCTATTTTATCATGGTGTGCATCATGCCAGGGTGATTTGCCTGTTCATTTGGCAGACGAGTCCCTTTTTTGCGGTTTCAGTGATGTTGACATGTTAATTGCCTGTTACACTGCCCACTCGTTTCCCATTATATGGGATGTTGCTCTTAGGAGGTATGATTATGTAACTTCTATATTAAAACTAGGGTATATCTCATAACATAAAATACTACATCAAAAGTTTCTGTACATAAGTAGACTTTTCTAACAAACTGGTGGCACCTTTGAAGAGAAAGACTATATAAATAAAGAATTGTGCATTTAGTAGGGACAATTAAAGCACTATATTGGTGGCATACGCACCGTAATCAATTCAGCTTGGCCCCTCTTTCAGTGGAAAAAGCTTCCACTTTAGCAATTTTGCTTTCTTCTGTAACAATGCCATTGAGAGACAGACACCACCTGGGCTTTCACTGCTGTCAAATTACATACGAAATGTATGTTACATGTGGGAAGCTGTTGCTGACGCATTATGGCCAAGCCTCAGGAAAACCCAGTTTTCATCAAGATTTCTGAAAATGGCTCAACAAAGAAAAAAATGGGATGGTGCCTTCAGCAAACCATCACAATAATTGATACAATTGGCTGTAGTGGTTATGGTGCTTAAACTGCCTATTTAATATACACTGAACAAAATTATAAACGCAACACTTTTGTTTTTGCCCCCGTTTTTCATTAGCTGAACAAAATGCCTGGTTCTCTCAAATATTGTTAACAAATTTGTCTAAATCTGTGTTAGTGAGTACTTCTCCTGTGCTGAGATAATCCATCCACCTCACAGGTGTGACATATCAAGATGCTGATTACACAGCATGATTATTGGAAAAGGCGTTTGTTAGGAGGCCCATTGTTGTGCTATTCATCCACGACCATCACCTTATGTTGCAGCATGATAATGCATGGCCCCATCTTACAAGGATCTGTACACAATTCCTGGTAGCTGAAACATCCCAGTTCTTGCATGGCCAACATACTCACGTCACCCATTGAGCATGTTTGAGATGCTCTGGATCGGCGTATACAACAGCGTGTTCCAGGTCCTGACAATATCCAGCACCTTCGCACAGCCATTGAAGAGGAGTGGACCAACATTCCACAGTCCACAATCAACAATCTGGTCAACTCTATGCAAAGGAGATGTGTTGCACTGCGAGAGGCAAATGGTGGTCACACCAGATACTGACTGGTTTTTAGTCCACCCAGACCTCCCCAATACAGTAAAACTGCATGTTTTAGAGTAGCCTTTTATTGTGGCTAGACTAAGGCACACCTGCGCAATAATCATGCTGTCTAATCAGCATCTTGATATGCCACACCTGTGAGGTGGATGGATCATCTTGGAAAAAGAAAAGTGCTCTCTAACACAGATTTAGACAGATTGTGAACAATATTTGAGAGAAATAGGCCTTTTGTGTACATAGAAAAAGTCTTAGATCTTTGAGTTCAGCTCATGAAAAAGGGGGGCAAAAACAAAAGTGTTGCATTTATAATTTTGTTCAGTGTTTTAGTTTATCGAATATCCAAATAACATTAAAATAAACACTTATAGTACAAATATTTTGAAAACTGCATATAATACCTAAGTCGATTAATTGGCAAGGCTCTAAGTAGACGTGGATATTCATTTTATGTCAAACTGCAGTTTATCTGGTTGATTGTTTGTTTGCATTCCCAGACTTTGAGCTGAAATGTAGTTAATTCACAAATCAAATGAAACTTGCAATATTCAAGCATGTTTGTTTGGATTTGTGATTCTGATATCTACCCCGGGTTCCCAAAAAGTTTATGACTGATGGGGAAAAAGATCATTAATTAGGGACGGTCACTAAATGTAAATTTTATTCACAGATCAAATGAGAGGTGCCCAATAGAGTGAGAAAAATTCTAACCAGAAACATACACACATATTTTCATTTATTTTATTTATGTCTTGTTTTTGTTTTTTAATTTAGAACCTTTAAAGGTGGATTATTTTTGGATTTGTATCATTATGTTAAATTATCCCCTGTATTTAACACATATATGTATATTTTTATGAGAGGTATAAAACACAAGATCCAGCGCACTCACCTATCCACTAAACAGCAACTTCAAAGTTGAAAGATTTTATTAGTTATAAAATCTTTCAACTTTGAAGTTGCTGTTTAGTGGATAGGTGAGTGCGCTGGATCTTGTGTTTTGTATTGTTTGGCCCCCAGCGGCACCCCCATTTATGCATGTTCAGGTGAGTGCAGCCAACCCCCCTTGTTTTTTATGAGAGGTATAATATATAATTAAATGTAGAAATCCACACCTCTTTAACTTACAACCGAGCACCTCCCTGACAGTCATTGACAGATTTACCGTTTGATTAATTAAAGTCTTTAGTAGACCTTCCCCCAGTGTATTTTTATTTTTGTTTTGTTTGTCTTAAATACATAAAGGTACTATGAAAATAAACTTTTAAACCTTGGAAATCTATTCAGAAGAACTTAAATGTAGCAAGTGGAAGCCCTAATCTTGGTGCTGCTGTCTTTTTCCAACTTTCCTAGTTGCTATCTAGTCTGCCTATTTATCTGATCTGCCATCACTGCTCTAGCCTTATGCATGAACAAAACAAATAATGTGATGTTAGTAGCATGGAATCTTTCAATACAAGTACAATTGTTCTTATTGACAAATATTGCTCAGTGCATGAAAATATGAGTATGATGTCAATGATTTCTGGCTGATGAAAATGATAGGGCTTGGCAGGTGGAAGGACAGTGAGAAAATCTTCCAGGCCTAACTATATTTGCCTAATTATGCAAACCATTTTTTTCACATTAACCTTCCAACATATTCCGATATTTGTATTGCATTATTTTTCTTTTAACTAGAGATACTGGGTTGATAAACTACAGCGTTTTTAACCCTATTTATGTCTGGTATTGAAAAATATCCCTCATTTAATGGTCCGTTTCTCAAAGTGAGATCATTGTCTCAATGTTCCTGTCACAAACGCTAGTTTAAATCAAGGAGCTGGTATAAATTAATAGGATGATCAATACAAATCCATTTAGAATAACTGTATTTAATTACACAAATATGTGTGGTAAGGTTCCACTTACATGCAGACCTTGATATAAAAACAGCTGAGTAATGTTAGGAGGGAGATATGTTAAAAGAAATGTTAGGTAGTTATGTCTAAATGTGGAGCAAAAAATGTTCTGGTGACTTCTCAAAAATTTTGGAAACAAATGGATCTTTATACATAACCCCAATTGTAGATCATAGGTTAAATCCTTCTTATTCAGGACTTATGAGTTGTGCTGAGTCAAAATGAAAATGTTAACCTCATTGACCTCATTAACCTCAATGTTAACCTCAACTATTAATATACATATTTCCCTAGAAATCAAAATGACGTGTTGCAGATCACGTAAAATGTATTTTTGGTTCGATGATGTTTAAAATATTTTTTCAGTGTGAAAAGTTGGATCTGAGAAGAAAAATATGTATATATAATTGTGCATGATTTTACAAATGGTTTACTGTGAGTACTTTACCTGATCCACTTTTGAAACCTAATTATAAAAATAACACAGATGCAGTACAGTATAACTGGAATACTTTTAAATTCATTGTTAAACAGAATGCCATTTTGGTAATACCTCTAATTTATACGCACTTCTGCTGCTATCCAATTTAGATATTCCAGGCTGACCTTTTATTTTTCTATCCCTCTTCTGCTTTACTCTCAGCTCTAACCTTTATTTCACTTTATCACCAAGACAGTGTGATTCCGTAAGGTGGTCATGATGCAGGTGATATTTCCTTCTGCTGTGTAGTGATAGGAAATGGAAATTCACACATATGCAATTGGAACTCTTTTAAGGGCTCTAGTTGCTATAATACTTTTACGTCTTGAAGGTTTTATACAGCACAGAGCAGTTTTTGATTTCCAGTGGAAAATGAGAGTGAATGTCTAGCATTATGTACCTGTTATATAAATCTGTGACCTACAGACCATAGCTTGTTGTTTATGTAGGAATAAGTTAAATTGCTCAATAAGATTATGGTAGATCCTGTTCAAAACATCAGGGCATACAGTAGATTTGACTAAGGTGTGCATCAAGTGTTTTTACTTATGTATTTTATTTATATGGGATGAATATCTATTGATTAGTCATTCATGTTTATTCATCAAACTAAATTGTTGTTAGGTTTAAATAAATACATGGAATAATGAGCAATATAGCGGGGCCAAAAGCAGCCCTGCATTCAAAATGACATATCAAAATGGAATGGTTATGCGCACCTGGGTATACATAACACACGGTTTCTTCCCTCGCTCGGTGCCAGGCACCGCTAGCTCAAGAATCCAGAATTTTTTGCACTGAAGTGAGTTCATGAACAAAGTTTGACTGGGAGGTCAAATATTCAGTGACCATTAAAAGAGACAGTATTATTTAACACCATTTTATTGCTTGTGCATCCTATGATATACTTGAAATTAAGGAAAGTGTATTGTGCATCCTGAGTTGAACATTGGGTGCCTTTACTCTTTTCCTGTCATTTACTTTTTAGTGTTTGGCAAATGACTAGGTGCCAGAATAGCCTTTAAACTATCATTAGTTTTTGGGCAGACTAGAGAACAACCCTGTGCAGCATTGGTTTTATATTTTTTCACCACTCCTATTTTCTATATGTATTTAATAAGCGCCAGGATTGAGACTGTATGGAGTCCCTTGCCTTGCGCAGAATGGTGTAAACACTTCTGTGTTAAATAGGTCTTTATTAAAGGAGAAACTGCCATCCTTGTTCTACACAGAAGATATCAGTTTTCCAGTAATACAGCATGTGTGGGATGGTGTAACAGATTTTGTGCACACTATTTCAGATATATTATTTGTCTTTTTTAATTATTGGTATTGTGATAAGAGTTTGTTCTCCATTTTCCTGACCATTAAATTTATTTGGGGCATATTTATATATATATGTCCAAGGCCCTCTTATGTTCAGCAGCCCATTTTAATAATTTGATGCTTTGAAATACTTTGTACAATTCTATTTAGGTAGCTTTATTATGTGAAAATTGTGTGTGGATTTTTATAATAAACTTTTTAAGATATAAGAGATATAAGCAGAGGTTAAGTTCTATTGATTTAGACACATGTTTCTTTAAGATACAAAAAAGGTTAAGCTCTATTGATTTAGCTAAAAAAAAAATATATATTCTGATTTTATGTTTCCCTAAGGCTTATACCTCTTCTTCACTGAGCAGCCTTCATATCATAGGCTCTCCCAATAGTCCTGTTTTTGGTGGGATAGTACCACTTTTAATGGTGCAGTCTTATTTTCAGTTCCCTGATTCCTGATACATTTGGGGACATCAGGGAAATTTCCCTTGGAATCATAGTGCAAGAGCATTTTTAGATGCATTTGTACTGTGCAGAGGGCACTAGGAACATGCAAGTAGTGCTTCTGCGGCACTTCCTGAATATCTCAAAATGCTTGAGGCTGGTCAGTTAGCCTATCAGAAAGGAAACCATTATGGGCATCGCTAATTACACAGGTTGTGCTACTAACAATGCCACCTCAGGGCGCTGCCCACATCGTCCTGATTCTCCCCTCCTGATTGTTGGGAGGTATATCATACAAAGTTCTTTCCTAGACATTGAATTCATGTTATGCAAAGATTAATTGGAATACAAATTGTAATTAATGCTAACTATTCCATTGATGTCTCTGATTTCTCTCCTGGTATATTGCTAATCTCAGGCATAGATGTCCCAGAGCTACTCTGAGATTGCATAGTGTCTGTAAATCATGTATTATTGAATATAAAGTGTATGAATGGTTTTACTCTCTTTGTAGTACAAGTTCTAAAACCATTATCTGCCTACTTTACGATCCCTCTTATCATATTGCCTTAAATGTTACCTAAAAAAAACCCCAGCAATCCTTTTATCAAGTTTTAAAATGAACTTGATTTTATTTTTTAAATGAAGTATATGTAAAAGAAAAAAGAAAAAAAAACTAATCCCTAGTATATGTCTTGGTCCTTCTGCCATATATATGCATCTTGGGTCAGGCAGTGTTTAAAAACCAACAGTAAGTCTCCATAGTCTTTACTTTCCTTGGCTGTATAGAATCATGAAAGTCTATCGAGACTAACTGTTGGTCAGTAGGAGGTGTTTTTCTTTCTCGATGTTATAGGGGACCAAGGGCTAACAATGAAAGAGTTCCAAAATCAGACTGGGTTTTTTTTAGTTCTCCATTCAGGGTTGTAGCCCTTGTTTACCCCCCAGCACTCTGATCCAGTGGCGGAACTACCTTAGGTTTTCGGTGCCCATCTGGTAGCCCATACACTTAGGGCAATCCCAATAGACAGGCTGGTCTGATTAAGGGTCCAGTAGGATGCTGTGGCTCATTAGCAATGAGTCATCAATGTCATCAACCAGTGCCTGGACAAAGTGAATTCCTGTCACTTCATACCAGCTTGCAGAATGTGCGGCGGCTGGGAGGAACGAAGTGGCACAGAGAGGAGAGGAGGGAGAGCACTGCAGACAGCCTAAGACTCCCACCATCTGCAGGCAGCCCAGCAAGCTACACTCCTTCATCCAAAAGGCATGGAAGCAAAGGAAGGCTGTAAATTGAAACGTGTGTATGTGTGTGTATGCCAATGTGTGTGTATCTTTGTGTGTGACATTGTGTTTATCTATGTGTGTGTGTGTGTGTATACATGTGTGTATCTGTGTCAGTATGGATATATTTGTAACTAATACAAAAACAATAAGAGAGTGCTCAAAACAATAAACCAAAGATTATTTCAATTACAATAAAAAACTGTAATATTGTTGTAGTTAAAAAGCAGCTCAACACATAAAAAACTTTCCCCAAGTTCCAAAAGTCAAAGATCATCCACTGATATAGATGATCAGTGATGTCCAGCAAACATATACATACTGACAAGTTGTAGATTAAAATCTTAGCTTCAATGACAACTTAAAGGGACACTGTAGGCACCCAGACCACTTCTGCCCATTTGAGTGGTCTGATTGCCTTACCTCCTTCCCCCCCTTAGCCCTTTTAGTCAAAACACTACTGTTTTGGAGCAACCGCAGTGTTTTGATTGCAGGGCTAATACCACCTCTAGTTGATGTCTCTCAGACAGCCGCTAGATTGGGTTTCCGGATTCTTACCGGACCAAAAGT